CCTTTTTTTCCAAGCCGGGGCTAGCAATTCACGGACGCATTGCTATCTAGTCCGCCTCACTTTTGTGCAATATAGGTTGCATGAAGCTAACCCTAGTCCCCGAAGGGTCATGGATAGGTGCAGCGTCTCACATGGGGATATCTTCCTGTATATTGCTGTAAATTGTGTATATATATAATGCCGATTGTCTGATATGTCGACTCTGATATCTGATAGTATAAGGTTATTGCACTTGGCCCTTTTTCAATGCTTGTATGCCTCCCTGGCCAGTTTCTCTCGGTCACTCTCCATCGCCAGTTAGAAAACAGCATGGCGCCCTTTTCCGCGAGCTTCGACTATAGAAGTCAGATAATAGGCAAGATTTCCCCATGCCGCCCCCCCTCCCTCTCTCGGCCCCGCTACGACGCCTGTTAACACTTACTGTAGACAACTGCGAGTTCTTCATAGCTAAATATGACATCGTCTCGATTATTACCGTCAGAGACCCGAGGGGGCTCTACAAGGCATATGCGATTCGATCTAATCAGGACTCGCGAGACGTCCTCCTCGCCTCGGAACCCAGCGACATAGTCTTGAAGGCCATCTCATCGTTACATGCCAAGTCATGCGAGGCCGCCCACCATTATATCGCGACCAATGGATTCACCCATCCCCCGGACCTGAAGAAGACACGGTTCGACGAGAAGGACGAGAGGGACGAGGACAACGACGACGACGACGTAGCATCCTTCGTCTCGGGTCACTCGGCGTCCTCGACCGCCGCCCTGTCTTACTGGGGCAGCTCCGACGACGAGGCCGCCACGACGCCAGCCTCATCCTCTGACCCCCGCGCGGGCTATCGCCATCGGGAGAGCGGAGATGACGAAAAGGGGAACAACGCCAACGCCAACAACACGAGCAGGCGCCGTTCCAGCAAGCCACCTGCAGGCAGTAACAAGAAGCAGGCTCGGGAGCCTGCCTCTTCTCGATTCCCGACAGAGCCGTACGACACGGAAGACGAAGAAGAACAGCAGCAGCAGCAACAGTCGCAACAACCACACCAGCAGCTGCCGCCCCATCACCAACTGCCTCCTCGCGTCAGGCTTCTGAGCCCCGTTCGGTCTGCAACGTCTTCCGCGGCCAACACTAGCACCTCGTACCGCCCGCCCCCACCGCCTCCGGGATGGACCGGCCCACCTGGACCGCCTCCTGCGCGCGCCATCCCTATTCCCACGCCCCAGGCTTCTTCCCATCGCCATCAGCACCATCAGCAGCACCACCAGCAACCCGCCGGCTTCGCGCACTACTACCATCCCCATCGCCCTTCTCCCCCGGGGCAGCCCATCCCCCCTCCCCTATCCCTACCGCTCGCAGCAGGCCTCGTCCCAACCCCGACCCCAGCAGCGCAGCCAAAGACGATCGTTAGCAACCCGAACCCAAACACAAGCACAGGCGCAGCCGACTCACCACCGCACTTTGCCAACTCCGCCACGCGCACAACCACCATGGCCACCTCGCCAGCCTTCGGTCCGTACACAGGCCTGCCTCCGCACATGCTATACAAAGCCAGCATGCCTAACCTGTCGGATCACCACCGCAACAGCACCAGCAGCACCAGCCTCGCATCGACGGCAACGATACCTCTGCTACCGCCGCATTACCACCAGCAGCAGCACTTCGACGCCAACACATCTCTCCCGTCTTTCACCAGGGGCGGTCCCCCACCACCTCCTCCGCCTCCTCCTCCTCCTGCCGCGGCACCACCACTACCACAGCAGCAGCCGCACCCGCAACAGCGCGTCTACGACGTGCGCCTGACGATCCGCTTCGGCCACGGCGAGCAGCGGATCTTGGAGAGCAGCCGGGCGAGCGTCCGCGCGCTGCAGGAGGTGGCCGTCGCATACGTGCAAACGCACGCAGTAACGTTCGGGTCCGGGTCGTCGTCGTCGTCTAGCTCAGGAGGAGGTGGGAGTGGGAGTATGGGTATGGCGACGGCGGACCTGCGGGCCGGCGTGCGCAGCGCGTTCTTCGGGCCCGGCGAGGCGTACGATATGAGCTCGTACCGGGGGGATGACTTGACGAGGCTGTTCGGGATGCTGAGCGCGGGGGGCGGGATACCGAGGTTTGAGGTTGAGGTTGAGGAGGTGGTTGATTGAAATCGCTTGATTAAAGACTGGTTTGTTGAAGAATGTTTTTTTGTTTTTTTTTTTTTGAGTTCCTACTTTTGAAAAGCTCATCTTTTTTTTTTGTGTTCTTTCTTTTTTGGAACTCCTGGATACCTAGGTACCAGGTAGTTATCCCCAACGCGACGCACTTCTTACATTCGTTTTTCACATCACCCACTTATTCGGTGGGAGGCCTACTGTTCTAGCATGGAAGGCATACAGAAAAGTGCTTCGAGTTTCTTTCGTACCTCTCACTTTTTTTTCACTTTTTTGACCAGACTTTGACTAGATTGCAACGACACAAAGAGCGGTGGATGTACAGTATGCTACGAGAAGTTAGGCGAGAATGAACGATGGCTGAAGAGACATGGATTGCTGATGTTTTGCTTTTCTTCTTTTGCGATTCTCGATGTCGTTTCTTTTCTGTTGTATCTATCTATCTACTACTATAATAGCCGCTTGGCGGGCTAGAATGTATAAGTGAACCTATAAGACGATCTCTGATGTGATGCTTCCTATTCTATAGAATGAGTGTCGATAGTTAAGCCCTGTATAATTATACTAACCTAGCAGTGCTTATCTCCGAAACACATATTATTCATTCATCTCCCACGCCTCCCCCCCTTTTTTTCTCATCAACGCACCCCACAATGGTCTCTTTACATCTGCAGCAACGAGAGACAAAAGTCAGCCTAAAGAAATTAGGAGAAGGTAAGCCGCAGCAGGATCCTAGACAAACATATCATCTCCCAAGACACGTAATTCCACTCGAGACAGGAGGCTTCGGAGGCTTACTTATGCGGTCCGACGACAGGACTGCGGAATTTACTATCTAGCTTTGATGATTCACGAGTGGTGTACGCGGAAGAAAATACATTATTAATATCTCGCTGCCGGGCGATACTAGGCTGGGAGACGGACGGGACGACGTGCTCGCTCCACGGCTGCCGTGTAACTATCTACATAAGGTACGATGCATATGCATAAAGGCGTCGTACAACAATAACAGCAACAACATGGCGTCCCGCCCAGAAATACGGACATAGAGGGGATTAGGAATCTCACTCATCCTTCGTCGGGGAATATGATGGAAGAAATCGGGGGGGGAGAGGACGGGACCGGGCCGCTTCTGCTTGGCTTACTATAACATACCTAACCTAGCTCTCACCTATTTCATATCGTATCGCGGCGTACGTACGTACGTACTACCCCAACGGAACACATATTAGGGCATATCTTTGCTACTACGACGCCTGCTTACCTAGGTAAGTCGAGAGAGATTTCAATTTCAAATACTATATGGATCCCGGTGAAATGGCGTTAGTTACACCGCTTCGTCAAGCCGTCGGGTGACAGCCGTCACCGTGAGAAAAAAAGGCGGGAAGGAGAATCACCACGTATACCTTTCTTTTCTTGCTAGATGACTTCACATGGGTATGCAAGGTACTGTATGACGACTCTTAACGCCATAGCGGCTACCGCATCTAAGAACTTGCTTAATTCTAGTTTCGTGCCAAGGTCAACGAATGCCTATTGTTGATACGCCTCTCTGCGCGTCTACCCGTGGGCGTCGAGGGGGGGTTAAATACCTAGGTAGATCTCATATCGTATTATAGTGTATCGGAGGTAGCTCCGCACCGAGGATTTAAATTTTTCGTGCTCAAATGTATACGCAGCCTTGATGCAAAGGTAAAGGTAGGAGAGTTGGAGGCCTTGCTCACGGTCGTGACACCGTGACACCGTATCGATACAAGCTCTAAAGCCTAGTTGTCACACAATTAAGGACAATGTTCCTCGTACATGTATATCTCTCATAACACGGCAAGGCAGAGAGTACCCGAGCCAGTGTCAACCCATATCCACGTGCCACAACAAAATCACTTCTTGTAATTTTAGTACCTTCATATGTCAACTCTAAACTTTAACCTAATACCACCCATACCAAACGTCGTCGTCAATTCCCTAGGTACTCGTAGCAACCCGCGGCAGTGGCAGTAATGGCAACATCGACGCGTCCGTCTGTACCCAGTAACGACAGGAGGACATAGGCATGGCTGCTGGATACCCTATCGCTCCAGGTCCCACCGATCGACGATACGAGGCAAACCAAAATCGGGAATACTGAACCGAGCTAACACGACTTCTACGTGAGGTCAAAGGGTGGGAGGCAAAGACAATAAGCCGAACCACCACAGGCATTGATTACGGTTGGAGAGTTGTGTGGACGTTTCAGTAGTGACCTATTAGCCTGACATCTCTAGTTCAATCGTCTCGACCCACAAGCCCAGGGCATTGCCATCACTGTTGCCGAGACCAAGATATCAGTACTCGTACTCGAGGCACCCTTGGGTACAGTAACGTCCGGTACGGTAAAAGGCGAAAGCACTACTAGCAGAGGGATACTAGGAAGGCAAGTGGATATGAAAATACCAGAAGATCCTTTTGTCGGAGTGATAGCGACAACAATAGAAGTATCGTTGCCGTTACTCCCCGTAGTACTAGCCGTAGACGTGATACTGGTAGACCGTCATACCACGAGGTTGGAGTAAGCATTCTCCCAAGGACGCATCGATGCCAGAGGGCAACGAGTTGGGCTCTGGTAGCTTCAGTGAAGTTCCTAGGTAGTTTTGGTGAGTGTGTTGACATTGATATTCGATGTAGGGGGGGGGGGAGGCGGGGGTTGGTTCACTGGACTAAATGCTACCATTGGCGTATTTTAAAATATTGCCTATCACGGAGAATAACCTTGGCTAGAGAGAAGAGAAGAGTTAGTACAACAAGAAGGTGGACAGGAAAGAGAGAAAATGGAGGAGATGGTTTATATCCTATAAGAAGAGAAAAAAAAAACTTGGAACTGGGCTCCGGCTGGATTCGAACCAGCATCTTCCCCTATAGGCGAAACTACCTATGGACAGGCTCCCATTACCCCACGAGGCCATCATAATGCTGCAAATCCGTTGCGTAACAAGGCCCATGATATTTTTCGATACATAGCCCTCTCACTTGCCAACCCCAAGCTTTTTAAATAAATTTTGCCGCAAGTCACAACGACAATGGTTGAATGAACGAGCTGAATATATTCACCCAGTAGCGACTCGTCGACTGCTATCTACCTAGGTACCTAGCAAGCATACCTCATATAGGTAGATCAGAGTTGGCACACTACCATTCACTCTTCTCCACTACATGCCCTAATATTAACTTAGGCACTTAGCAAAGATATCACTTCTCAGGTCATCTTGAGCTTCAACAACCACATCATTCATATTCACGAAGCCAGGCTCGATAGTCTCTATCTTCCCATACTATCTCTGAGATCTAGTCATCATCAAGAAAAAACGCTGGTAAGAAACTGGTGTGTGTGTATGTCGTGGGGAGGCAAAAGTTCTTTTTTTATATATTCCAGACCGCCAAGATCTATCGCCTATCAAACGCCGCCCAAATGCTCATGAAGGATGCTAAGGTTGTCAACTCCCTGAAGCCCTTTTGACACAAGATAAGAGGTAGGCCTCTATGGCCCCCTGAACGTGCTTAGTATATACCCTGGGTGCGGTATTGGAATGTATCATAACTGTGTCTGTGTTAGTGTACTGTTCGGATTAGGTGGTTTAGGGAGGAAAGGGGGGCATACAGTCGTGTATAATAACTGCCAAGAGCTTTCGATATGAGGTCGGTCTCCACGAAGCTCTCGGCTGCGTCCGCGCTCAGATGCAGCTGAAACCGCTGCCGTAACGTCGTCGTCGCCTGTGCAACTCCGGCGGCAAAACACGGCATCTTGGAGTCGAGTCCCATCATACTGACCAAGTCGATGATGTTATCCGCTGATCGACGTAAAGCTGAAAGACAGGTCAGAAATGGTTGCTGCTTACGAGCGGATGGAGTGGATTTATGTCTAAGTCTTACCTTGGAAAGCTTGCTTGCACAACGTCTTGAAATCTTCAAAATCCGGCGAGTCTACTCCGCCCAACACGTCCACGTACTCCCAGGTCAGCTTGAAAGGCGCCGCCTCAAATCCAACCGACCCCGGCGAGTTTGAAAGCATAAATCCAAAGTCGATATGTATAATATGTCCCTCATTGTCGATCAAAACATTGCCGTTATGCCGGTCCTTTAACTGTAATATATACGAGATCATGCTGTATGCCGCAAGAGACCGCTTGAAGGCATCCACGGCCGCTCTGTATGGTTCGCTATCCGGCTTGCCAAAAGTCTTGACCCAATGATCCTTCAAGGTCGCAAAGCGCCGTCGAGGATTCACTCCGGACTCAATCGATGCTAAAGTCAGGCTTCGTTTGAGCGAATGTAAAGAAACACCATTCGTGATCGTTTCGATAAGGCCCGAGGATTCGCCAGTGACCAGGATCCTCATAAGCTTCACCCACACGGGGACATCGGCATCGACCCAAATCTTATGACAGACTTGAATAAGCTGACACGCAAAGGCCTCTTGCCGGAGGTCGGCTCCAGTCTTGACGATGACACTTATCAAATCCCAGTTCTTCATCCAACCGTACGGCGAAGTTTTGCGTATGCGTTCCTTCTTCATATGCCACGCCTCACCAAATACCGCAGCGCTTGGGTCATCGCGATCACCTTTCCTCTGGACACCACCCGTCATCGCATCGTTTTCCATTCGAGCGGCTCCGGCATTTGCGTTGCTCGTTGGGTCTAGGTCTTCTTCCAGATCTGTACCTTCAGGGGTTGACGGTGCTGCCTGTGCCTGGGCTTGGGCTTGTGCCTGAGCCTGAGCCTGTGCTTTAGCTATTATCATGTCAAATGTCGGTCCTTGACCATCGTCGAGGTCAAAACTTTGCTCCTCAAGACTTTGCATGCTCGCGATGATCTTAGACCTGATAGCCGCAACTTCCTGTCGTGGCCGCTTCCCACTCGTAGCATCAAGCTGAGCCAGCATTTGCGACGCCGTCCGCATATGTGTTGCTAAAGCCGAGAAATCTGGTTGATCGGTCGATGCGTTGCGTTGAGGTGGCAGTGTTATTCTTCTCAACGGACCAGGGCTACTGGACCTAGACGCAGACGCTACGTCCGTACGTGGTGGACTTAAATCAGCTAGCGAAGTTACATCTCCAGTGCCATTAGGTAAACTTCTACGCTTAGTAGATTGTTTTCCATTCCTTCTGCTCGTGGATTCAGGATCGTCAAATGGCTTAAGCATTGGCGAAGTCCCCAGATCCCCTGAAATCGGCTCGAAGACGCTATCTACCAGTTCAACGACAGGCTCGGGCGTTCGCTCGGAAGATGGCCTCCTTTGCGCATCCGATAAGTCAAATAGGCGCTTGCGAGTACCTTGCTCGCCTACGAGGGTGCTAAGCAGTCTTTGGTTGTTGTTACAGGTAGGATCAAAAGTAAAATCGTCCCGAAGAATCTCGATCATGAGTAGATATGGCACCTTCTCAGCGCTGTTTAGAACAGTGGCCTCGGCGGGATTGACCCTCACAATTCGATGATGGCGACTTTTCGCAGGTGAGCCATCTACCAAGGTGGGTGGACATATGATAGGTATATCCAGCTCAGCTGGTAAATCTCTAGCAATAAGCGCAAGCTCGGCGCGCAAAGCACTAAGGCGAGCCGGCTTCGGTACTATGACTAGGCGATTTGAAATGTCCTCGAGCGCTGCTAGAAATGCTGTCTGGCAATGAAAGTAATTCTGTCGGAGCAGTCTTCCCTTTTGGGTCGGGGTCATCTCCGCAAGACTTGCGAGCGTTTTGACGTGGTGAGAATGCCTTCTCGAGATTCCATCTGTTGGACGCGGGAGTCCGGCAGAGAGCGGAGTGACTGGTCGTATCACTGTCCTCGGCGACCTGACCTCAGGGAGTGGAAGAGATGAAGAGCTCAAGCGAGCTTCTAGCATTTTACTGTCGATGTATCCAGGTTTCCGTTGTTCGAGGGCAGCCACTTCATAGTCGGGGTCGGGGGTTCTTGGCGCAGGAACGACAGTATGCGACGTTCTCTTAGGTGACGAAACTGCCTGCTTCGAATCGGACGCACTCGTTGCTCGCGCCAACTCGCGGGGTCTTCGTGATCTCGTCGTGTTCCCAGTCACGGTCTGACTTCTGACAACTTTAGACATCGAGGTTGGCTGGCTCAGCTGGGTCGATTCGGAAATAACATCGCCAATAGGATGCGATTTCCTGGCTTGCGCGACGGCTAGTGGTCCAGCCCATTGTGGTAAAAGAGGGAGGCCAATGCTGGCAAAAACGAAGCTCGCGAGTACTGTGACGGGTAAAATATTCTCTTTTATCTTTTCATGCCTTGCGGTGTCCGAGAGTCCGAAGACAATATGTTGTACCTTGTTGTAAACCCTTCGACAAGTTTTGAAGGCTTGCGACTGTGGTGTTGCAGCGAGGTCGTGCAGGTAAGTTTGAAAGAGCCAGAAGGTCTAGAAGCAACACTCAGTAATTCATTCGCGCAACTTCAACTCGGGAATGGGTGCAGACCAGCAATGCAGCAGTAACCGATTCCTCGCAGAGATCTAACAGAAACTCCTCCAACGCCATGGAATCATTATCAACGCTGATTATAAGGTGGCATAGCTGGGGCAGGAAGAACTCGATGTCCTCGTAGGGGAACTGGCGGAGCTTGGAGCATAAGACATAGTGGATGCCGACATGTTCTGCGTATCGACTATAATAAAAATTGTGTCAAAAGCTACCGTCGCATAAGATGATGGAGGGGGAGGGGAGAGTTGCATACGATAGATAGGAAACGGAGAGAAAGGGGTTCTGGTTGAAGACATCACTCTCGATAAAGCGCTGGAGTAGATGCCACGACATAGCGAGCTGTGGCTTTTACGACAAGAAACGAGGCTCGATGCCTCAGCTATGCTCGACATGAAAGGGCTGGATGGGATAGAAAGGAGCTGGCATGGCTGTCGGATACAGCTTCGCTTCGGGTAGACGGTAGACGGTGAAGAGTGAACGTGTTCGAAGTCGGTCTCCAGAAATGCGGGCTTGGTTTCTTGTCGGCGTCGCGCATCTCTCAAGCAGCAAAAAAGCCAAAGTGGGAATCGGTCCAATTCTTCGAATTCCTTTCTGGCCTTCTTGGTACATTGTACCTAAGTAGGTACAGGTACATCGATATCATGCACCTTTATACCGTTTATCCCGCAATCGGTAGGTACTGCAGGTACTGGAGTACCTTCTTAGCACCGACTTGCCGAACATACAGGGATGGGAAAGCCTGCAATCGGCCTCTAATTGGCCTTCTCTTTTAGTGCTATCCCCTGAGGCACGGCGCTAGCCATACGCTAATATAAGATATTTCTACTGGTTGACAAGGGCGATTGAGCCAATCAGGTCTTCGGATAAAACCAGGGCTTTTTTTGACCTATATGTATATTTTTTATAGCTAAATCTAATAGCTTATATTATATAAATAAGGTTTTATGGATTGGCAAGGAATTAGAATTAATGAGAGTTTCGGATAAAATCAGGGCTTTTTTTGACCTATAGGATATACCTAATTAGATTTTTAGCCTGAATTAGGGCCATTTCTTCCATTTTGTATTGCACCTTTAATCTAATTGGCTTAATCGCTTTTGTTAACTAGTAGAAATATCTTATGTTAGCGTATGGCTAGCGCCGTGCCTCAGGGGATAGCTGTCAATACGGTACACTATGTTAGTACCTATTTCTGTCTGGTCCAGTGCTTTTCTCTAGGTTTTATTCTACCTCCAGCCGTAGGGTCTCCCGAATCTACCGAAAGCTTAATAATACATATACAATTTCCTGGTATCTTTAGCCCGATCATTTTTAAACATGGGAAATATAATATTTCATTTTTTTTCATCATAGGTATCTCAAGTACCTACATATATGGAACAGCCTGGAAACCCGAGTAAGAGTCTGAGCACCTGCAGCTATGCAATACGCTATTATTATAATACAGATATAATACAGATAGATGATCTACTTTAGTAC